ACACGCACATGCATACGCCCATCTACCCACGAGGTACAGCGTTTTCACAGCCAGGCCTCCTCAGTGCACCCCGAGGAAGCAGAGGCAGGCTGGGCTCCACAGAGCAGACAGCAGCGCCCCACTCCTCAGCGCCTGACCTCACGACCCAAGGAGAAGCCCTTGAGCCCAGCTCAGGCCGAGGGGAAAGAACTATCTGTTTTGCCCAGACGCTGGCTTCAAGTGTTAAAAATAACAGGTCAGGAGATAAGATAGTGGCGTCTCTGACACCTCGAGTCTTAGGGGTGCTTATTTTTAAATCTCAGAATAAGCCCTGGACGTGGGAGGAGGGGAAGGGGCAGTCAGGAGGTCAGGAGACTGCACCCCTTCCTCACCGAGACCGTGCACCTTGTTGGCCCAGGAGGAAGACCGTGGTTAGGGTGAGGGGTCTGTCTCAGACTCACAGGAGAGCTCCTCCCACGTTTTTATCTTGCAGTGCCTCAGTTTCTCTGTCTGTATAATTAGCTGCCCATGACCAGGCAGGTCTGACAAGAGCCCCTTCCTGGGTCCCATTGTAGCTGGATTAGGGCATCTCTCTGGGGGGCCGGTTCTTGGAGGGGGGTCTCCAGTCCACCCCACCCACCTCTCTGAGGGTCCCATTCTGAGTGCCCTGGGCCCTGCACCCTGGAGGGTCTGCCCACATGCTGGGGGGTGCTCACCTGCTTGCTGGACTCTTCCTCGGTGCCCAGGCTGTTCTCCTCCTCGTCCTCCTCTTGGTCATCCGTGTCCGACTCGGCCACTGCGATGGGGACACACACAGGCTCGGAGTCCCCTGGGGCGGGCTGGCCCGGCCGGTTGCCCTCCTCAAACCGTGTCTCCTTGCGGGCTGGGGGTGCCTTCGCCGCCTCCGGGGGTGGTGGGGAGCCCGCCGCAGCGATGCAGCTGGGCAGCCGGCCGCGGGGGGCCAGGAGGGCCGGCTTCTTGGGCCGCCGGCGCAGGAGGCCACAGCAGAAGTCCCAGGTGGTCCGCTTGACGAAGCGCAGGCCCCTCTGGATGCGGGCCAGGGCCAGCTGCAGGTTGTTCATCTCGCCGTCCTCATCCGGGGCCGTGAGGTTGTCCGCGCTGAAGGAGCTGAGCAGCAAGGCCAGGAAGAGGTTCAGGACCTGCAGGGGCAACCAGGCCGCTGACCGAGGGGGCCACCACTTGGGGACAGCGAAGCCAGCAGAGGCCTCGGCACAGACAGCACTCAGCAGGCTCGAACCCAGGACTCCGGGCTCTCATCCTGACAGCTTGAATTTGGAGGGGCTGGTTTTGAAAGAGAAGATCATCGAAGCCCTGTTTCTGAAGGCTGAAACACAGCGTGAATGGAGATCACATCCAGGACCCCCTGAGTGCTGGCACTGGTTCACTGGGAATCATGGTCATCAAGTGTCAAAGGTTACAGATGAAGACGCGGCACCAGAGGGGACGGGGCCTGTGCAGGGTCACGCATGGGGTCTAGGCCTGTCCTGTTCCGGCACCAACGGCCTCTACCCCAAGGTAGACCTTGTTCTCTGTCCCTTTCTGCTAGTAAGGCCTAGGGTGGGGAGTTGTGCTGCCCATCCAAAGGTAAGCGGTTCAATTCCTCCAGTGGCTCTGTGGAGACTAAATAATCTCCACCTGTGTAATTTACAGCCTTTGAGAACCTGCCTGTTGCATCAGCCTTGAGTCGGTTCTGACTCCACGGCAGTATGAAAGAGCTACTTTGGGAGTAATGGGGGCTGAGGGGTCCGGGATGGACACAGCTCCACCCTGGGAAGCGGGAGCCCAGTGAGGGGTCCTCAAAGACAGAAGCCCACCTGTTAGTGAGGAAGGGCAGTGCTCCAAGGTCCTGTGACTTAGCTGTGCCTTCCAGGTGGGGCCCTGGTTCCTTGGGCTTGGGGACCAGGCTGTGCTGTAGGGACGGCAGATGCTTCTGTGTTGGGGGAGCTTCTTGTCGCCCAAGGACGAGCAGAGATGGCCACAATGGCGGGCACTGGGCCATCTCAGGGATTCTGCACTCCCAGCGGGGTAGGGAGTGAAAGGTCAGTGTGAGTGGTGAGGAGAGTGTTGTCTGGATCGCCCTAAGTGGGATGAGACACGGGGACGGTGCTGGGGACTCGGTGGTGTACAGGACCGGCCATGACTTCCAGGGGCCAACGCAATGAAAGAGGTCTGGGAGGAGCGGAGGTTTTCATTTCTAGGAGAGACCTGTAGTTTCCTGGTGGCCTACATGTTAGGCTTTGGTGCTTTCACCATTTTCATTCTTTAAATTTTTTCATTTTGCTGTTTATTATGTACATTTTAATTCTTTTAAATTTTTCTTTTTATTATTTTGTGTGTGTGTGTACCTTCAAATCAAATCCGACTGGTATGGGAGGAGATTGCCCCTCCTTCTCCAGTGGAGCATCTGGTGGATTCGAACCGCGTGTCTTCGGTATTGCAGCGCAGTTTTCTTCCCACTAGGCCACTAGAGCTCCCTGCTTTCACCATATTTAGAAAGCACAACTCGCTTTCAGTGAAGTGATCCAATCAGAGTCAAGGGCCCACATGGTATGGCAGATTAAGTGTTAGGCTACCAACCGAAAAGGTCAGGGTTTGAACCCACCAGCAGATCTGCTGGAGAACAAGAGGCGTCTTTCCCTGCCAAGGTCCACAACCCCTGGAAGCTGATGGAGAGCTGCTATGGGCTGGAATCACCTTGACAGCAGACAGTTTTTATTAAGAGTGAGAGCCTTGAGAATGCTTGTTGCTTTGTATGATCTCTTAACCTTTAGCCGGTTCCAGAAGACTGCTTATTAAATGGTCCCGCAAGTGTGAAGTTTTAGCTTTTGTTCAGAAAAAGCAGACAATTGCTAGGATAGGAGCTGGGTGGGCTCTCCCCAGTCACACGCTGACCCCAAGCACTATCAGGTGACTACAGCACAGACGCAAATTCCTTTAGGAACTTGCTATCTATTCTGCCAGTCACCCCAAAAGGGAGTGTCATTAAATGGGGGGCCCTGGGACAGGGTAGGGTGTGAGAGTGGGGACTCAAAGCTCACTGGCAGAAATGCTGCCCCCAGAGACCCCACAGCTGTCACAAAGCTGGGCAGGAACATCTGACGGATGCCGTGGGCAGAGCTGGGCCCCAGAAGTAAGCCTTGGTTTAAAAAGCAATCCATATTCACGGGGACAGGATGAAAAAGTTAAGACATGGGATCTCCATGGTGTCCTCTCCGGACAGGTGATTACTGCTGACACCTGACATCTTTATTATGTGGTCACCGGGGGTGGACCAGATGCTGAGATTCAGAACTGCTGTCTATACTGAGCGCTGGTCGAGACTCTGGTCTTACTCCACTCTGGGCTAGACCTGGCATGCCTGTTACTGGCTGTGCATGGATTTATCTCTACAAGCCTTGCCCACGCCTGAGCCACATCTCCTGACCTCCGGGAGACCTGGGTCCAGGCTGAGGGCAGACGATGTGCCCCCTGGGCAGCCCCGTCCACCCACACAGGGGCGCCAGGGCCTCCCTGGTCGCTGACTTCCGAAGTTCAGCTTCTTCCAGAGCTTTCCCTGTCAATCTTGCTGCGGCTGTGCCCCAGCCCCTGCCTGATCATCACTTCCCTTTTCAATGGCAAGACTGCTTCCACCCACGCCCGGCAGCAGCCCAATTCCTGAGGCGGCCTAGGAGGGGGCTGTGTGGGCTGGCGCTGGCTCCCCCCCCCCCGCCCCCCCGCCCCAGCAGCCTCTAATCTTCTTATCCCCAGGCAGATCCGCTAGGAAATCGCTGGGCTCTCGTGTGTGTGTGTGTGTGTGTGTGTGCAGGACGGCTGGGCCCTGGGCTGAGAGCTCCCCACACTTATATCCTCCCTGGAATACACAGTCTGATGGCCGCAGCAGGCCCAAGGGCTTGTGGGGATGGGAGGAGACATGGCCAGCCAAAGAGCTGGCACTGGGCACCAATGCCCTGGGTGTCTTTCTGTGTTCCGGACCTGGGGGACTGATCCCAACTGCTCTATGCTTTTCCTCTCTGGGAGTATAAGGTAGCCAAGAGGACCGGGGAGGGTTTTGGGATACGCAGCTCACAGCATTCAGCCCACGACAGGCGAGCAGGCTAAAACCCCCTATGAGCTGATGACACTCCATGGTCATGTTGGAGACACCACGGGCCAGACAGGTGTGAGGTCTGAGCACGTGTGGGCCACCTGCTTTCCCAGGAAGGTGGCTCCACGGCCTCAGAGCACTGTGGCTTTTGACTTAAGTATACACTCAGTGCAACCTTTAAGCTTCCTTCCAAGCTCCCTTCACTGGCCTTTAGGTTTTGGTCTTTCTCAAATCTGGAATGTTCCAGATTGCAAAGGCAAAGGGCTAGCTGCCCCTGCTCTAGGATGGACGGGTGACCATGGAGCACAAGCCTGGGTTTCTTACGATGAGACAGTGGGGTCTCTTCCCACAGCTACTCAGGGGGGCTTGAAGGCTCCCACGAGCCTGTCTCACCTGGACTGTCACCTGTCTGCATCTGTGCTCGCCTGACCCGCTCTCTCTAGCATCCCCTGCTCACCCAGTCAGCTCCAAACCCTCCTTGGGGAGCCAGTGTTGATCTTTCCGCCGGCGGGCGTCAGTGCCCACGGGTTCCTCTTTAATGTCTGATCATCCTGACAAGTTTAAGAATCATCTCAAAGTTGTTCAACTCTCCCATCCTCTCCAGCAGGCAATCAGCATCAGAGCTGGGACCAGGGAGGCCACATCCACCTCTGTTAAGTCCAGCAGCATCGTTCAGTTCTGTGCGTGCAATAGGGGCTCAGCAAATATTTATTAAGTTGTGTGGTGTTTTTTTTTAAGGTGATAATTCATTCACAGTAAATGGGTGAATAAGATAATGAGTGGATGGCTGAGTATCTAAAGGAGTAAGAAGTGAGTAAATAAAAAAAGGGGTGAATGGATGGATAAATACAACGCAGTGAAGACTGAGTGAACGGACGGCTGAGGCACCTGTGAGCAGAGAGCTGGACGAGTGGATGACTGGATGGAGGAAGGAGTGAATACTGGCTTGATGGGTGAGTGGCTGAGTAAATGACTGGACACAAGTGTGCGTGTGTAAACACACACAGGAGTGAGAAGATGAATGAGTGGTTGACAGACAGATGGAGGCCAGGTGAGCGAAGGAATGAATGGATGGATGAGTGTCAGGAAAGCTGATGGCGGGATAGCTGGGGGTGTGAGTGGACAGAGAGATGGAAGGACTAGTGCCTGATCGACGGACAGCTGGTGAGAGCACAACAGAAGGCTGAATGGGTAAATGCACAGGTGAGTAGACAGACAGAAGAATGGATGGGTACGTGAATAGAAGGGATGCTGTTGTTAAGTGCCATCAAATCATTGGTGACTCATAGCGACTCTATGAACAAAATTCCTCGACACTTGCATGTGTGATTTTCATCCTTTCTCCAGGTTCACAGGGTTTCCAGAGGCAAGCTATTATGGAAGTGGATGCCACTCCTGCTTCCAAGCTTGTTTTAACTGGGGAACTCCACCAAACACTGTCCACCATGGGTAACCGTTATTGCATTTGACACATCAGTGTCACAGTGTTCAGCTTCACAGCAACCACGAGTTCCCTCTGTACAGCAAGTGGACACACCAGGGCTATATGACCTAGAAAAATGTTTCAGCAAAACCAACGAAAAACAGGCCTTAGGGCCGTCAATTAGAATCACCCACCTTTGGCTTGGTGGCATTGCTTTTGGTCCACTAGGCTAACTGGTCTCTCTCTGTGTTGTGAAGTGCCGTCGAGTCGTAGGAGACTCATAGCCACCCTTTGAACGAAAGTCCTCGACACTTGTGTGACTTTCATCCTTTCTCCACGTTCATAGGGTTTCCGGAGGCAAGCTGTTTACGGAAGTGGATGCCACTCCTGCTTCCAGGCTTGTTTTAATTGGGAAGTGACACCGAACACTGTCCACCATGAGAAGTGGATAAACGGGTAAGTGAATAGGTGAGTAGGTGGATGACTGGGTAAGTAGACAGATGGATGGAATAATGAATGAATGAATGAGTGAATGAGTGAATGAGCACACGGGAAAGAGAGGGGGGTGGTGAGGGTCTGATGTATAAGCAGCTGGATGAGCGAGTGGAGAGTTGGGAGGACGGGTAAGGTGGACAAGCGCGGTGGGGAGGGAGCTGGACGGACCGCCGGGTGGAGGGCTGTGTGGACGGCCTGGGTCGACTTACCACCAGGTTGCCGATGACCATGACCAGCAGGAAGACGAGCAGGCACAGCGACTGCCCGGAGACCTCCATGCAGTCCCACATGGTCTCGATCCACTCGCCGCAGAGGATGCGGAAGATGATGAGGAAGGCGTGGAAGAAGTCCATCATGTGCCAGCGTGGCAGGAGCCCCGAGTCGCTGATCCGGTAGCTCTGATCGGAGTAGTTCTTGCCGAAGAGCTGCATGCCCACCACGGCGAAGATGAACACGATGATGGCCAGCACCAGCGTCAGGTTGCCCAGCGCGCCCACCGAGTTGCCGATGATCTTGATGAGCGTGTTCAGGGTCGGCCACGACTTGGCCAGCTTGAAGACCCGCAGCTGGGGACGGAGGAAGAGAAGGCGCCTTTGTGAGGCGCTTTGGGGCCTGCTGCTGCCCAGTGACCTGATGAGCACCCCAGATCCTGCCTGGAAGTCCGGGGAGCAGGCATGACAACCACCAATTCCCCGTATTCCCCTCCATCGCTTCAGGGGCAGCTCCACTGGGTTCTGCTCGGGGTGCCAGGCGACAGCTCCAGTCCCATCCTCCCTGCTCAGCTCTTCTCTCTGTTCCCAAAGCAGCCTCTTCCTTATCTCCCCTCATCTCCCCTGCAGGAACTTCCAGTTCGTTCACCTCAATACAGGACACTCTTCCTCCTGCAGTTATATTCTCAACAGATGTCCTGCTGGGCCACCTCAAACCATCTCTGGCTTGACTAATCACCCCCATCTCCTCCTTCTTTCAACTATCATAGAGAAAACGCACAGACGCTTACCACTTCCTGAGCACCTATGTCAGGCCTTTCAGATAGGATGGCTTATTGTTCAGGACTCTCGGTAATCACAGGAGATCAACATTATTATCACCTCATTTGAGAGCTGAGGAAGCCAGCCCTTAAAGGTGGAGAAACCTGTCGAGGTGTCAGGTGTCGTGGCTCAGCGCAGGTAAGCAGGAATTAGAACCCACTCACAGCCTTGGCTTTTTCTATTCCTCATTTCCCTGTATCCCCAGTTAAGCTGTCAGCCATGACCGAGGCTTTTTCTAGGAAGCTGTCCCTGCCCAGGCCCCAGGCTGGGAGCTATCTTCTCCACTGGGGTCTCCAGTCTGATCCCTGGTTCCCGCAAACATTTTGAGTTCAAATGTGGTTCATAAACCAGTAGGTTTGGCCTCACCTGAGAGCCAGTAAGAAATCCACAATCTTGGGCCTTGCTCAACACGCAATCAATCAGGATCTGCATTTTAGCAAGAGCCCAAGTGATACGGATGCAAATGAAAGTTTAAAACGTGCTGGCAGGACTCCAGCGGAGCTGTCAGCTGGCCTGGCTTCCCCTGGTCCTTTCCATGTACCTTTGGGAAATGAAACTCTGAGTCTCAGTCTTCCCATCTGTGAAATGGGGAGGCAGTAATACCAGCCATGGATACTTGGGAGACTGAGGGGCTGAACACACATCAGGGTGTCTGCCCAGGAGCTCATCTGGGGATGTAGGGCCCTCCTCTGTAACCCCAATATCCACCAGCCCTGAGCCTGGTACCCAGAGGCATCTGGCAAAGAGCTGTGAGGTATACAGAGTGCTGCAAACAGCACGACAAAGTAGGGGTGAGTGGTGAGCTGGAGGAGGCTGTGCACCGGGTCCCCATCCCTCTCCGCCCCCCCTCCCCCGCAGTGGGCCCAGCCACATACCAGGCGGAAGGAGCGTAGTACCGACAGGTTGCCCATGCGAGACAGGCCCAGCTCCATGAGGCTGAGGATGACGATGATGCTGTCAAAGATGTTCCAGCCCTGCTGGAAGTAGTAGTAGGGGTCGAGGGCGATGATCTTGAAGGTCATCTCTGCGGTGAAGATGCCCGTAAAGACCTGAGGAGGGAGTGGGGTGCGGAGGCTCCTGAGATTCGGCGCTTCACCTCTGGACTTGGCACCAGGCAGGGTCAGCCAGGGTCAGCCTCCAGGGCTGTGACAGCCCAGGGCTCTTCTTCTGCTTCGCCAGGCCCTGGGGGTACTGCCTGCCCCCCACCCAACGTCCCCAGTTCTCTAGGCTGCTCACCAAGCATGGAAGGCCAGCATGACCCCCTGTGAGTCCCAGACTGCAGCTCCCAGAAACGCTGAGGGCAGGAGAAGCCAACAAAGGCAGAGCCCGATCTTAGACTTTCTATGTCAGCACAAGAAACTCCCTGCACCTATGTGCCCCATCCAGGTGTCCCCACACACACTCTTGGCTCCAGGGCTCCAAGCATCCGTCCATTCTGTTCCCGAAGCCTGAACTGTTCCTGTCACTCCCCATGAGAAAACGTCTTATGATAATAATAACAGCCACTGCTTATCTTTCAGGTAAAATATTTTAAACAGAAAAGTATTAGGAAAAAAGAACGATGTATGTCTAGTGTTTCGTACAAACCAGTGAACTTGTCTTTGTGGTAAAAAAGACAATCAAACCAAGAACTCTACAAAATCAGCACAGAGCAGTTTTGAGGACAAATGACAAGCTGAGGGAAGGAAGTAGCTAAGAGAATACGCCGTCCCCTTTTCCTTGTGACTCAGGGTGAAGTCTCTCTCAGGGAGGAGTGATAGGGAATGGCAAAGGATACACTGACAAAGAAGATTAATCA